TATATGTTGTTGTTGTGTGTGTGTGTGTGTGTGTGTGTGTGTGTGTGTGTGTGTGTGTGTGTGTGAGAGAGAGAGAGAGAGAGAGAGAGGTCAGTAAATATTTCTTTCTGCAATTATATATTTTATATAAAATTGCGTAATTTAAAAAACAATTTGCAAAATCTATAGATTTGTTTACATAAGATATACAATAGAGGCAAGGAGTCTGTTCTAAAAATATCTAAATGTTTCATTTACTCAATTGCTTAGAAATGTAGCCTATCTTAAATTAATTCGAACATATTTTGATTTGACACTATTGGTACTCTTGATTGATTTCGATAAAATTATCGGAAAAGTGAAGCAATAAATGCACATTAAATTTTATCAAAAACTAAAGAAAACTATTACAGTAATATAATATAATGTATTTAAAATAACTTTCTGAATTTTATCTCATCAAATTTTTGTAGTGGTATCACGTTTGAAGATTGAATATCTATAGAAAGTAATATTCTAAATGATGAAACAATTAATAAAATTTGCACTATTATAATTTATCTAGTAAAATTACTAGATATATTACTAGATATAAGAGCAATAATCTTTATGTCTTAATTATATATTGAATTTTTTATATTTCTTAAAATAAAACTTGATTTGTAAATGAATGAAGAAGAAAAGATGATATAGAAAACTTATATTAATGTTAAAAACAATTTGTCAATAATAGGTTGTAATATAAAATTATATCTCATCAATATAACCTTTATTTTTTTAATTAAATGAAAATTATATTTTAGTGACATTTATCTCAACAACTGAAAATGTGAATCTATTTAATGCAAAGAGCAATTAATTTTGAATTACATTTATGTTTTTTAAAGTCCTCGGTAAAATATAATTTTTTATTAATATTTGTATATAATCCATAAATGTCTTAGAAAGAAAAGATTTATGAAATAAAAATATCAAATTACAAGAAAATTACCTCGAAAAGGATTAATATACTGTACGATAAAGTTTATTGTTGTAAGTATTGTAGTGTCCAGTTTAGATATTTTTTGAATAGACCTCTATATATTACCATATATTCGAGAATATAAAATGTATGTTAATTTAATTACTTTAAAATTATATCTTTATCAAATTATAATCGATTGTTTAAATCTCTTTTAAAAATGTCTATGCTATTATTAGGAGGCAAATTGAAAGAAATAAATTAGCACGAGAAAAGCAATTACGGGAAGCGGCAGAAAGAGAAAAGGCTGCAATGGAACAACGACTTTTGCAATATCAGGAGGAGATACGGCTGGCGAATGAAGCTCTTGTAAGATGTTATGAATAGAAAATAACATAATAAAGAATATAGTAAAACTCCAATTATAAATTATAAAAATATAAATTGTTTATATACAGTTGTCCCATTTTAATGGAAACAGTTGTATATTTTCTAAACTTGACGTTGTCCAAAAAACATATTTTCGATAAGTTTAAAAGTATTATTACATTTATACAAAATTTTTAAGCGTGTCGACAGGATAGAAAAATTTTACTTCTATTGTATAATCAATCAACACATTCAAAAAATTTGTTGTATGACAAATGTAATATTAGCTTTATGATTTCGAAAGAAATCTATGACACTATTATTGGTTTGATATTGAATAGTCATTTGAAAGTTGGACAAAAATTATCGCCATTTTTTAAAATGGAGTATAATATTTTTATATAATATTTCTCTCTCTCTAGTTACTTTGCAGACAAAAATATTAAATAATATTATGAAAAAAATCAATAATTTACGAATTATATTATACTTTATTCTGACATTCTAACTCAAAATTAAAATTTTTAATTTAAATTTTTCTAAAATTTTTATCTATCGTGCAACATTAAGTTTAGAAGATATAT